AAAGTCTTGAGATTTTATTTCATATTTGTTTTAAATCTCTGATAAACCACTCTACATTTACATAACATTAAATTCCACTCAATCTCCCTTATGTTTTGCATTATTGTATTTGGAAAAACCCAAAAGAGAGGGTTTTCATTCCATCTCTTTCAACCAGGAATGATTAACAGTTCTGAGGGGTTCCAGTACCCTCAGACTAAACAGCATAATTAATTCTGCTTTAGTCGGAGGTAAATAGCACAGTGTGTTCTATACATTAAAAAGATGCAGAGACAAATATACACAACATGTGGAATAACATGCAGATGGTTCCAGCAGAAGGACAGAAAGCATTCAGGTTTGCTTTTAATCTCAGTCTTTTTTTTTTTAAATACCACACAAAACTGTAATACAGACTGAGATCTGTAACAGCCAACACAAGCACTGCCTTTTGAGAGAAAGCAAGGCAGATGAGGAAGACCACTAAATATCTTCTCAAATTGTTCCTGTGCCGTTCCTAACAAGCTGGAAGGGCAGTACCAGCTCCCCAAAAACCAACGTATTTCCCAGTTTTGAGACCTGTTCTCCTTGACACACAGGACACTTCCAAGGAAAAACACCCCACATGTTGCACCACAAGCAGCTCTTCATTCAGGGCATGGGGAGATTGCACCATCATCAGCAGATCACCCAGGAGCTGAACTATCTCAGAGAACAGACACTGCTCAAATGAATTTAGCATTAATAGCTCCTAAAGAATGAAGAGGGTATCACAAAGCAGCTGTGAGGTGGTGCCAGCTGGTTCAGAGGGCACAGCCAACCCTGTGGCCAACAGTTATTTTTTAAAATAAAATCCTGCTTTCCTTCTTACAAACTGCAGGGTTTCATTTTTAAGCAATTATTCTTCTGATGGTGACCCTCCTCTCTTAGCACAATACCTATTAACAGGTACAACTTCTTTCCCTCTGTCACACCTTCACTATTGAACATTTTCAGTGCATTTGCTTTTGCAATTTCCGAGGCAGACATCTTTTGTTTTAGAAAATAATTATCGCTGTAATAACCTGCAATTATCTTTTGTAACAGCAAAAATCCCAAAGAAGTCAGTCATTACCATAGATCACAAGTAATCACTAAGCACTGCTGTTGTTTTAGTAAACCATGGCCACATCACTATTGACACAGAGAGCAAGGCAGTATAATAAAATGAGATCTTAATATTACACTGACTTACTTTGTAACATTAAAAGCCATTAAACATGTAAATTTAACTATGTACATCAGGGGGATATAACAGTTGTTCAACACGAAAGCAAATGTTTAGCTTGTAGAAATGCAACAACATTTTAAACCACACTGAGTATTTTCTAACAGGTCACAGCAATGCTCAGAGCACTGACACGGACTGGTGGGTTCCCCTGAGCCCCCCACGACTGGGGAGTGCAGTGGAAATCCAGGCTGCAACCACTCAATGACACCAAGTCATCAACCAAAAGTCTCCCAAATGGAAGCCAATAGATGCACTGGAAAAAAAGTGGAACCAATAAAATGGCGAGTAGGATGTCTTTTATACATTGATGATGAAACAGCTGGTGTACAGTAGAAAATCAGCATATTCAAACTCTAAAAAAGAACAGCAAAATAAATCACAAACATTTAAGAGTACCTAAAGAAACAGCTGCATATTGTATATTATGCACTAACCCATTTCCCCTTTTCAAAACAATACACTTTCTCCATGTTAAGATGCAGGATAACTGTATTAGAAAGAGCCAGTATTTATAAAGACAATGTTAATGAGAGGGGATGGACATAGGTATATGAAAACCATATGAAAATGTATATTTCTACCACTTACATTGCAATAAATAATTTCAGTTTCTTGAAAACTAGGTAATTCATCTTATTAGAGAGGTATAAAATAAATTAGTGTTTTTAATGTTGCACCAATTTTTACAGACAGGTAAATGCAAAAGGAATAAAGCTAACATTTTCATTCAAAAAATGTTCATCAAGTTCCACCTGGTTCCCTTGAGGGCACCTGAGGCATGAAAATGTTGATTTTCCGCAATTAAAAAGTTTTTACGGCTCTCATGCCTATATTGTAAAGATGTAACAAGATGTTAAAACAAACACATCAGTGCCAATGTACCCTGTTTAATACAAAGACAACAAGTGAAAATGTTGTACAAGGTGATTTGGATCATTAAAGCCTGCTTGAGAAAAGGCCTAGTTATATCTGCCATAAAATCACAACTCTTTTTCATATGCAAGTATATGGTTACTGACACATAAAAGAGTCTAAAAACTAAATTAAATACTCACCTTCCTGAACTGTGATTTCTAATGGATTCCTACTAGGAGGGTGCAATAGTTTTTGGTAGTTTTGTGCATTTTGGTCAAACAACTGTAAAAGAAGTGTACAGGTCTTTGGGTGTTCACACCTGCTAACTGTGCAGAGTTGCTCCTGCTGTTGGAAATCCGTAGCTGTGCCATCCAGTGGATCTGCTAAGCCACCTCTGGAACAGAGAGAACAAGTAGCCGTGTAGCCAGCATTGTTTCAAGGCTGTTTTCCCGCCCAGATCTTGTCCCAGTGTCACTGAAATGCTGATCTCACTGCAGCTGGTGAGCACAACACACACAGACCTCATTCTATTGACATACATACCCATACACATCCAACAAACACAGAGCAGCATTCTACCTGAGCCTTCCTCTTAACACACATTTTAAAGAGAAAAGAGGAGATGAGGTTGACATTGTGAATTCAGAAATGTAAAACCTGAATTACCAAGGTCCACTGTGCCTGATTAGACTGCTAATAAGCAGCATCTTTCTCAGAGGATGATGGGAGGAAAGAAGGGACTGTTTAGTTGAACTGGACTTTGCATATTTATCAATTTAAGCACAAGACCATCGTACCAAAGGCAACAAGCAAGCTTTAGTAAAATTCCATGCAACTGCTTTATAAGCCTTCTTTTATTTTGCTGTAAACCAGCTGAGTGCCTATGGAATGCCAGTAACTATGAAACCAATAGCTCTTGCCATAAAATGCATCTATACTCCTTACACAAATCACAAAAGGAAAGGTTTATTCATCAGGTTATGTTTTGCTGCACAGACAACAAACAATCTACAGACAAAAAGTGAAATCCAATAGGAGTAATATCCAAACTTTGAAAGATTCACAGCACCTGAAAATCATAAAGTTCTAGATAGGCTGAAACAGACCTCTTCTCAGGTATCTACAAATATTTGAAATAAAAGATCTCCTTCTACTTTGTAGAGAAGCATCCTCTTGTAGAAGAATCACTAGTTCTTCACTCACCCTTACTAAAAAGGGAGAATAACTATTTAAACCCCCTAAAAGGGCAAAAGTGACTTTCCTTCCATTACTCCAAGCTACCTTTTTCTCTGTGTGAAGAACTTGATGGATGGCTCCAGGATGGAGGGTGATGTTATCAACTACCCTGGTTTTTAAGAAACATGGTTACTCCAGAAAACAGGAGTTGTTGGTGAATGTATCAATCTCCTTGGAGCAAATGAAAGAAGTCTTATGAAATCAGCTCCCAGACAACCCATCTTTCTCAGGAATGGCCTGGACATTTGATAATAAAGTCTACATCTGATACTTCTGTCTACAGAAATGCCACAACTAAGGATCTCCATCATGTAAGAGAGTAGGACGACACAAGAGTGGAATACAAATCACTTGGAGACAGGGAGGGATACATGGAAACAGCACTATCAAGATTACTTTAGAATTATACAAACTGGTAGAAGAGAAGGTCAGTACCTTCCTCATCTTCTCCCTGTTAGCTGTTTACACAGGTTAGAAGCTTTACTCCTCCACTATGTAACAGGGACATCAAGAATAGTCTCTCATCAGTGCCAAAGAATTTTCAGTGCTGATTGTGATGCTGATGAAGGCAAATAGCACATTTCATTGGAGCAGCTCAAGCCAGATGGTTTGACCCAGAGGATCAGCCCTACTGAGTCCTACTCAGAAGGAAAAAAGCCAAGACGTAGAGTTTCAACCCTGAGATTCCTTTACAGAAAAGCTGGACAGAGAAAATAACCTAAAGCTGTCAAAAGAAGCATAGCTGTTTGAGAGAAGGCCCAGGAAAACTGACAGCACCTGCAATCAGCTGCTTGTCCTTCCCTGTCCTAGCCCTGGATCACTGGAAGCCCCCCTACGTAGTAGTGATTCCCGTTCCTGAGACAGTGATAGAAAGTTCATGATTTTGAAGCGTTAGGAAGTCAACAAAGGTCCATGAAAGGAAAAAAAGCTAGAATTTACATTTGATTTTGGCCTAAATTTAATAAGCAAAAGGAATAAAATGTTATCAGCCCATTAAGACAGTCTAAACAAATCACCACGATCATCAGAACCAGCATACTCAGATTATACCAAAATATAATATGCCAACAAATCAGAAAAATAAACACTCCATATTACAGCTTGAAAGTTGCAATTACAATTTTTCCTTACAACTTGAGGAACACATTCCAGTCTAGAAGTGATGTAAGCTTTTGTTATCTGGGGTGCCTGCGTGTCCAAGGGGTGGGGTACAAGCTCAGGAATTCAAACCTCTACAGCCCAAGAATCAAGATACCTTCATTAACAAGCTCACATACTAGAGCAAACAAGCACAGTAAAAAAATTCACAGTTTTCTCCTCAAGAAGAGAAGAGAAAACAGACACGCTACAAATACTGCACCTCTTCAAGGTACAAATACAATGAACCTCTTCACATGCCAGGAATGAGAACAGTGTTCAGTGTCTAAACAAAATAATTTGATTTACCAGGAATATCTGTTATAGAATACATTTATTCTGCCAAAATAAGAAAAGGAAAAGTGAGAGAGAAACAGCAGAAAATGTTTACCAATAACTCCCCAGCAGCAAACTCTACTCCACATTAGAAGCTATTTTGTAATTGCAAGTATCAGGGCAAAATAAGTTGCACAATCCACTGGCTACAGACCTCATATTACAAACAGTAATGATTCTTTCTTACTTGTTTTGCAGTTTGTTGGAGTCTGCCCAGTGCATAGTTCATCAGCTGAATTTCCAAGGAAGTCAAAATGAGGACAGTTTAGTATAAGCTTCAAAAGTTGCAATGCCAGGCTTTGCTGCTGTTGATTCTGAAGGGTTAAAGGTTTTGCCAAGAGCTAAGGAGAAAAGAAATCTCGTTAAGTCACCTGCACAGAACATGCTTTAAAAATAATTGTGAACAGGAAAATGTTTGGATATAAAGCTGCAAAGTGCAGAGCAAGAGAACACATACTGAGAGAAAAATAAATCCTTCAACAATAAAAGATGGAGCATTTCCTTAAAGGCAAGAGGAAAATCATTATTACCACCTCAGAGACATCTTCCATGTCAAGCTGAAGCTCACAGGCTTATAAATAATTTTTAAAAGCCTGGTGAAATAATCCCTTTGCATAAAATACATCTAGGTAAAACTCAGCACGTCACCGGCACTGTTTGGTAAAACAGTGCTAACTTTCACTGCAAACTGCAGGGTTTCACTGTTTTCAGTTCCTCCAGACCAGCGTGGAGTCCTGGACATCTGTGTGCATCCATGGAGTGCTGAACCTCCGTGTCCTGTACATCATAGGGGTAAAAAGTACCTCAACAACTGGTTATTTTTCAACTAGTGTGACACCCAGGCTGCTGAAGTTTCAGAGTCACACAGCTCCTTTGGAAGTCTAGGAAGACCTGGCTTTAAAAAAAACAATGAACTGGGCAGTCTGTAATCAGAATACAGCTCTGTACAAATGTACACCTGCATAAATAGAGCTGTCAGGGGCTCTGCTGCTTTATAACCCCCGTGGTGTCAGAAGGAAAAGGTAATTTTCAAGCAAAGCAACCTGTCCATAAGTATATACTCTAAATCCTGTTAGTAAGAACATTTTATTGATCCATTTCTGTAGCAAGAGCAATTTAAATAACATTTCTCTTGAAAGAAATTACTACCTCAAGATTACAGTATAATGACACTGAAAACATTAATCATTATTCACTGACACAGTTTGTGAACATTAGAGGGAAAAGTGGCATAATTTCATCTAGAAAAGAAATAAACTAAATGCAAATGCAACAACTGTCTCTAGTTCATCTGCTCCTTATTTAGATTCAAAGTCACATCTCAAGTTTATTAACAACAACTTTTTTTATTCAGATGATAGAAATTCATATCAACTGTATGTCATTAGATGCCTCATTAACCTGGTAACAACTGTTCCATCATGTTAGAATTGACACTAAACTATGAATTCAGCTTTGAAATTTGAATTTCTGCATGTCTTGTACAAGAACCACCTGTTCTGCCAGCAGTCCTCTCTAACCCCTTTAAACTCTTGGAATAATTTTTGTGATTCCACCTTTGAAATTGAGTGTAACACAGACACTGAAATATTTCCAAAACCAGCTTCCTATACTAAAGTTGGCATTATAAAAACAGCAATTATAATTTCTTTATATTTCTGCCTGGAAATCCCTGTGAGGTCACTCAGACAAACTTTTCAACATATAAGAGATTCAAGCACCTGCAGACCGGATGAACTTGAAGAAAGCTGGTAAGTGGCTACAGGGTTGCCACACATCCATTTAATGCTTTAATGTGTAAAGGGATTTACTTCATCTAAAAAGACTGTTCAAAAGTATCCAATTCTTCTTTTACATCACATATGATTTCTCCATTAACATGCAGTTCTAACACTGATTGAAAGCATCCTGCATAGAGTAGTAGGGCACTGCCTCTTGAGAGATGAGGGCTCACACATTATTATTTCTGTAACAATTAATTCTGTACCAAAAAAATTCACTGCCTGTCACCTGAGCGCTGGTAGCTGACCACGTGTCCCTTAAACTCACGGCAAATGTGGGGTAAAACATGCTACTTACACCAAAAACATGCTGTGAAAGAAGTTTAAGCTAACACAGTTGATCTCATTTTTCACAGCAGTACCACAATCACGTATCTCAACCTTCAGAATTCCACCTTGGACCAAAAAGAAATCACTGCCTTTATCTACTGACCCACTGTGATGGCTCCTGTGTTTAAATTCTAGCCTAAACACCTGTGTCCAAATTTCAATACCTAATTAATTTGATTTTCAGAAAAAAAAACAGAATAAACAAGCACTCCCGAGTAATTCAAAGAATAGAAATCATGTAACATTCAAAAAATAAGTTGCTCTCAAGAGCAGAGATCCGTGGACTTAAGAGAAGTAGAATGGTACCTCATGGTGCCACTTGCACTGCCATGGAAGGTTTGGATCAGCACAGAATCATTCCAGCTCTGATCTCAGCTCAGAGACACAGCTGACAGCATGCTGCTCTTCACCACCTCCTGTCCAGGCTCCTGAGAGGCTTCAGTTACCCCAAAATGTTTTAGAGAGGATGAGGGAACTGGTGAAGGAGAATAACATCTTGGCCTGATTTGACTGCGCTGCCTTACCCCAGGAATTTGTCTTTCTTTTTGGTTGCTTCTAGTTCAAGGAATTAATTCTTTTAGCAAATACTGAGACAGTAGGACCCAGCAAAACATAGAAAGAAGACAAGCCCAGAATTAAGATAGTTGCACCTTTATGGAAAGATATAAAAACAGAGAGACAGCACAGAGAGACTGAGAGACAGCAAGAGACACATGGAAGGAAGAAGATGGGAATTTTTGTCTTTGAATCTTTTTTGGTCACTTGGGCTTAATTGGGTGTCATGTAATCCATTCAAGCACAGAATTCATCAAGCCAGAAAATATTAAGGGATAACAACGATGTTAACAATTTAGGTTCAGTTATAAAAAGCCTCACCTCCTTCAAAAGAGAGCACACAAGCATCAGTATGTCCTTCAGGGAGGTGTCCCAGAATGAGGCAGCTATTTAACAATGTTTCACTGAAGGACTTGAATAATCAACCTGAGAAAAGTAAGGACAGAATAAACAATGCTCCCTTCCTTGGTCAAACTAGATGAAGAGGATAGCTGGTAGGTTAATTATTTGACGCTAGAAATTAAAATGATGGTCCAGCACTAACTGCTGGTCTCATGACACATCTCCTGACACACCTCCTTTTTTCCCCTTCAAGTTTGCTCCTCTCTCTGGATGGACAGGTTTGAGGCACTTCCTCAGGTTAAGATGTGAGCAAAGAAAATCATTAGCAGAAATACAACTGAAAAAGTTGACTTTGCTTTACTAGTTCTGGTGACTGTGATGAGGGAAACATGTATCTGGTAGTTGTAGAATCCCTGTACTAAGAATTTCTTGTGCCTCTATGTATTTTAGTGGGGTGAGGAAGGTGTTTTATTCCCTTGATGTCTAAGAAATATTTCTCAAACCATCTTTATGAAGGACTGAAACATCCATGGCTTTACCAGCGTCACTTGCAGAAGGAAAAAAAACAAACCCATGCTTTGGGTTCTAGACTCATTTCCTGACTCAGTTCTGAGAGGAGCATTACTCCTGTTGTATTGTGGTCCACAGTGCCCTACAGGGAAAAAAAGACAGGATTGCTCAAATGTCAGCACTTGTAGGTACCATTTTCCAGCAGTATTAAAATAAGATTGCACTTAGTATTTTTCAACATTTCTAGAATCAAGAGGAATTGTTAGGCTGAGATATCCCAAGCCATTTAGAAGGCTCTCACACCAAATTTCATCAGCGTTAATGGAACTAGACCTTCAAACTTCCTAATTATCTCTGAAAAAAAACCCTCATCATAAATTCTAAGAATTGTCTGATAACAAAACCCCATCTGAAAAGAGACTCCAAGTAACTGCAATCTAGAATTTCACCACTACAAGTTCAGTATTCTAGCACTTGTAAGGCAAGCTGCATGAAATTTAAACCTTTAGATAAAATTAAGCCACATATGGGTAAAAAAGATCACAGAGCACTCTCAGAAAAAACAAAGTTTTGCAATGCTACCTGACAGAAAATTAATTCTCTTCCCTCTACGGTGTAGTATGCAATGCATTGGTTGGAAGTGACTGATACATTTCATCTCTGAGAACTTGTGTCTAAAAAGCGAGGCAGGAAATGTTCAGGATCTCCATCTGAGGGTATAATCTGATCATCAGGATTTAAGATCCTTGGAATGTTTCAAAATTTAGATACAATGCAGAATTGTGCAATTATTTAGTAAAATCTGTCTTCCCTGAGCTACCACAAAGGATTGATAGAAAAATTAAGTCTACTTCGTTAACTACTACTAAAATCAACTGCAACGAGGCCTTGCCATTGAGTCAGGGGACTTTCACAGCTGCAGTTCGCAGCCTCAGCTCCTGCTGTCCAAGATGTCACGTCATCCTTGTCAAAATGTTCCTGCTCTTTGTCACAGTTACACTCATTTGTACAACTCTGAAGATCACCTGACAGTCAACTAATGAAACGTCTGACTACTGACCAAGGGGCCTGACTTTTCACTGTCATCTGCTTTGCATCATCACTTGCACCAAAGCAAATCAGAGGAGACAATTTAGGGGAGCTCTCAGGCAAAAGTAACATCTGCTCTATCTATCTGCCTTCATTGAGATTGAACATCCCACACTGTAATTGGGACACAACTTTCCAATTCTTAAAATAGTCCACAGATCATGCAAACAGGTAAAAATAGAAAATGCAACCTCCCCTTTCTCACACACGTGAAAAGCTGTGTGATGAATTACAGAGGAGCCAGGAAAAGAATTGCTAATCCCTTTTTCAATATTAAATCACACTCAGATTCACACTGGATGAACCTCAATCCAGAATGCTAATGCATATGTATTTGAAACTACCATAGGCTAATTATTAACATATCTAATATTGTTTAGGGATTATCTCTTCATTTTTTGTATAAAACTTAATTCACTGGATCTATGGCTTAATTTTCTTTTCTAGAGAAATTCTTCATTTAACTAAAGAAATCTCCTAAGAAGCTAAATTTTGTATTTAAATCTCTGTTTTTAATGAGCTGCACACTGAAGAGTCACACTGCAATCATTTTAATAATAAATGCAAATTCCAATTACAGTATATTCATAAAAATAACTGCAAAATGGTAGAGAAGTATACTTGAGTTTGTTTTTAATAAACAGATTATTGCAAGTTATCTTTTATTAGGCATTCCCAAAGTAACTCAAAAAGTACATTAGCTCAAACAGTATTATAAACAAAGTAAGACTGAAAAGCAAAGGAGAAACTCATTAGCAAGAAACAAAAACTGTTAACTTTGTGTTTTCTTGCTGAATTGCCAGGATCACCACCAAATACGTGGATAATGGGTGATCCTGGAAGGAAAATTGCCAAATAGCTTAAATTTTCCCATTTACTTTTGTCAGCAGAAGTTCTGGGCTTAATGTTCACACAGACATGGATCAGAAATGCATCTCCACAGCAGCTGAAAAAAATGAAGGCATTAAACAGAATGGCCTGACAACAGGGGCTGCTATTTTACAACCACCCTACAAAAGAATGCTTTAGAAAAAGAAAACTAAGAAAAAGACACCACAGCACCACAAATACCATGAGGCATCAAACTCCCCAAAGGCGCCAACCCCACCCTGGTTCTTCACTGCAGGGCGATCTTCTGCTTTAAGCAATGCTCTTTACACTTCTGCCATCCAAGCATCAAACCAAGTGACATAAATGAAGAGTCCAAACAAAAAAAAATAAATGGCAGAAGTAAAAAAATTGTTTCCTACCTGCAAAATTTTTTTTACATGTCTCTGAAGACAGGCTGATCTTCAAACCATCCTAATTTTGTAACTTCAGCAATGATTTGAATAAGAGATTGGATGATAAAAGGAGCCATTTGGGTTGAAGAGCTACATAGCTCAGAATGTAATTTCCTGTAACAAAGCATTTTAAAATCAGCAATGCAAGTCTTCTGTAAAGAAAATGAGCCAAATAATTCTAATAGAAACTTAGGACATGGATTAAAAAAAAAAAAAAGAATTCTTATAGTTAGTACAATATCTGTAAGCTCTGTTAAATCATTAAATCCAGCTGAACATTTAGTAACACAAAGTACATTACGTACATGATCATTATTCTAGGACACATGACAACAGTTTTTTAATTCAGACAACACTGGCAGGTAAAACACTAATTATTCATTACAGTCCCATACACTGGGCACTGATTATTTCAATACATAACAACAGCTCTCACAGCCAACTCAAAATACAAGTTTTCACAGACAAGTGTCCTTACTGAATGTTCTCAGTTCAATCTAGAACATCCCATGGAATGGGAAACGCACACTGCAGTTGTGGGAACTCTGCTCTAACCAAAAGGGAGTTAAGCTGTTTCAAAAGCTGTTGAAATGTATAAAATTCAAGTTTATTAAAGTGAATTTTTACCTAAAAGAACACTAAAAACTTTTATCAGAAGCAGCAGGTTCTCAGCCCTGTTTCAGGGTACTGCTGTCCACAGATGCGACACAACAGTGCAGATTTTCTAAAAGCCCAAACTGAATCATAAGTTTCTCAGGCAAGGTCTTTCCACTATTAAAGACCTAACACATACTTGCTCATTCTTTTTGGATATAGCAATGGCTTTAACATAGATTCTAAAAACTAAGGAAAACTGTGTAGGCTGCCCTGGCACGACTTTTACAAATATTAAAAGCTGAACATGAGCAACGTGACGTGAGGGATTAGCAGGTGTATCAGAAATATCTGCAACTTTTATCCTTTATAAACATGAGCTGAATCTCTTTAGCATCTTATGGGATAAATACAAAGTCTACTTTGAAAAAATGAGTGTTTTTTTTTTTAAATATTAAGTAATCTGAGCAAACATTTAATTTTGAAAATACGAAATGTTATTTGTGAGTTAACTGCAGAGAAATGATGGAAGATCTCACAATCACCTTTATGTTCACTCTCACACAATGAAAACAAAACAAAACAAAACAAAACAAACACCTTATGAAAACCAGGCTTGGTGAATGGAGAGTACAATTGAAGGAACAACCAGACTATCCACTCAATGGTTACCGTGCTTACATGGAGTTTCAGCTCCAACTCATATATAATCATTTTAACAACAAACATTACTCACAAATGTCAATTCTTTGTTCAACAGGCAGTGGGGACAAGTGCTGACAAGCTCAGGCAGGCATGATAAATGATAAATAATAAATAAATCATTTTTTTTAAAGTGTACCAAAACTTTATAAAAGGTGTATTTTAGTGCTACCTTTGTTTCATTGTAACTAAACATAAATTACAAAACAGTGATAAAAAAGCTGAGACCTGTAAGTTCCATCCCTTTTGATGAAATGATACCTGTTTCATAGCTAGAAACCAGAACAAAATGAGAACCAGCAGATTATACCACACTGTGTCCCAACACTGCTCTACAGATGACACAACCTCTGATTACAACCCTTCTGAAAGTACTGAAAGCTGAGATCCTTTCCCCTTTTGTGCCTGACCTCTCTGGTGCAGGGTGTAGTCACTTCCACAAAGACCAGCTCCAAATGAAAAAAAATTCTAGAATCATTCAGGTAAAAAAAGAGAAAAGCATTTTGCCTTTTATTGTCATTTGGCCTTATTGTCCTGCCCTAGTAGTGGCCCATGACTGAGAAATCTACGTGAGCTTCTACGAGCAGAATTACCTCTATGGACAACACACCTCCCATTTACCACTCCTTGTTCCCACAGCAGCTGCCACTGGTTGAGACATTCAGGGCTATTGATAAACCCTGGCAGGACCTTCTCAGCTTGTGTTTGCTGGGCTGGATCAGTTCCTGCAGACAGGTGGTTACAGAGCACTTCAACTTCTGCCAGACTCTCTTGAGGGAACAACACGACTGAAACTTCCACAAAGACTTTTCAGTCACATTAAGATTCCTTTGTTTATAATTTTAGATACTATAGCAGAAACGTGAACTGTTACCTGTGCTCAGCTTTCCACTTGTTTCACAATTAAATTACAAAAAAAAAAAATAGGAGGTTTTCTGTGACAAGCTGGAAATCAAACTGCCATTTCTTCTCTCAGCTACCAAAGTATTTTTTACTATGGTTCAATCCATCTGTTGTTCTGAGCCTTCAGATGGGATGCCCAAAGAGAGATGAAACGCTGGAAAATTGTCAAGTTTGAGCTATGCCACTTGGAAAACTTCTGGCAAATTTAATTTTAAACCCACTAAAACTCATCAAATTACCACATCCAGAAAAAATTAGCTTTGTATGCATCTGTTGATGCAAATATCACCGAAAAATGGGGCAATTTAGAAGCTGTAGTAGCAGGAGAAGAGCTAAAACTCCTCTCTGCTTAGGAGCTGAAAAAGTTCTCTTTGGTAGAGGTGTGTGTGTATGAAACCTCTCCCTCCTGTGTGAGGAATATGATTTGTATCTATGAGTCACTGTCTCACAAGAGAGGTGAACCCTTTGAGTATGTTTAGGAACCATTACACAAACAGAAGTTTTAGCATCCATCAGGTCCCCAAAGCCCGTGTAACTCTCCTAAAGTGGCCACGTCATTAGAAGGTACCTGGCAAGTGCTTCATGATTTGAGTGTGGCCTAAAAAGAAAAGAGAACACACAGTATTCCACCAGTTTCATTTAGAAGTTTGAGTCAAAATCCTGCTCACCAGCCCTTCCAAACATACGTTTTGCACTTTAAATAAAAGACTGGATTGCAGCACAATCCACCTCACAGATAACTGTAGCTCAGACGTCTTTTAAAATTCCAAGACAGTGTCTTCTGGCAACCAAAATACATTTGGTTTTGAGACATCAAAAAAAGATCATGGTCTTTCCCCCATTTTTGTTGTGCACAGGAGTCTCTGGATTTGATCTGCACCTTCTGTGTTTCAGTAATGATGGTATTTTAGGAGTCTCTGATTTTCAGTCAAAAAGTAGCCGTGTACTTGTTCCTTTGGGGAAGTTTTAAGAAACAGTACATTCATTTGCTCCTGGAGGGAACAGATCGAGTACCTCAAAGGCTGAGCTCAACAGAGACCTCTTTTGCTTTTGTTTTTCCCTCTCCTACACTGAGAGAGAGTAAAGGAAAAATAAGGCAACAATGCCAGTAATGCAATTTTAAATGAAATAAGATCCATACCAGTTAAAGCTCATAAAATGCAAGCATATACATTAGGGAAAATACAACATAAGCCTCACATAACTGGGGTAAAACTTGTGAATAAGGACATCTAGCAAAGATGAGTCTTCAGACATAACTACAATGCATCGTTCCATGATGGAACAAGCCCAATACAAACTAAGAAGCATAAACCAAATGATCATGTCAGAGCCAGCAAAAAACCCTCTTATATTTGATTAGAAATTTGACTTTCAAGTCAGGACAAATTTGGCAACAAGTTTGAGAAAGTACAGAATAAAACTGCACTTTCAGCCCAATCAGCAAGGTCGAAATCATTGTATGATAACTGACATTAAAACAGCAAATCATTTATAAGCTTGCTAAACAAAATCATTTATACACAAAGAATTGACAGCGGATTTCAGGAACATAAGCGCTTTAATGCACAGTGTTAATATGTCAAGGTTACACCAAAATGTAGAAATCGAGGGTAAGGATCCCTTCTTGTTGACAAGTTAGAACTATGAAGGACAGATAAAAAAAGTAAGGCCTGAACAAAAATGAGACAATGACATTCAAAGAAGAGCTGGTTTATTGGATATTGAGACTGATGATGTGCAGACCTTTGAGATACTTTATTTGGATGTATTTGTTCTTGGGAGGATGTTATGAAAAAGCTTCTTATTGACAGGCTGGAGGCATGGCCAGAAAGTGCTCAGGATTCTCAGACTGCTTGTTAGATGTTCTCTGGGTTACATTTTAGGCATAATACTGAAGAAATGTGCTGCTTTTCCTTGATTCTAATAGCAAACCTCCAAAAAATACAACTTGAAATCAGCAAATACAACCATCTTGTGTGTGATGGCAACCCAGCTGAGCAACAGAGGTATTATTGAACTTTATTCAGAAAAAAATAATCAGAGAAAACAATGAGAAGTCAAAAACGAGCTCTCTCTAGATTACATAGGTATTTTCTCTAAGGAAACACGAGACTGTCACAATACCTTCTTTAATATGAGACATGACGTGAGACTGATGCCTTCAGATACCTCACTTTCTCAAAGCCTGATCTACAGCTGAAAGGTGATTCCTTGAGAAAACAACCATCATTGGAGACAATCAAGCTATCAGATGCGGGCTGCTTTAAGTGAGATGGGAGTAGAAATAAACCTGAATAAGAAGTGGTATTTTTGATCACAAAGAACTGGAACTTTTTCCAAGAAACAGCTTCACATCCTAATAAAAAAGTTAGATTTTGTCACCTTACTGTAACACTCATGAATATGCTGAATAAAGTTCTCTGGGTACTTCTAGTCCCACCTCTCCAGCTCCCTGAAGTCCCTGGCAACTCTCCTCTGAAAGAACCAAAGGCCAGAAATGCTGGGGGCCAGAGCCCCAGGCAGCCCAGGAGCCAAGCAAACCGGCAGGAAACCAGGTAGGCTCCTAATCGGACTTTTGCTGACGCTAACAAATTCTCCTGGACGTTTTGTTTGTAAGCAGCACTTGCTGACTGAAAACACTCTAGGAAGAAAGAGTTCCACCAGGTCTATGCAAGAGCAACGTGATGCGCATAACAGAACAGCCACAGTTTAAAAAAGAAAATTAAAAACCAAAACAAAACAAAAGGATATTTTAGTGGTCCTTTTCTGTGCCGTGCCTGGTACCCAAGTATTTAAATAAACGCCTGAAATGGCCTCTCTAACAGTGCCAGAGCCTGCTGCCACCAGTGCAGTGATGCCGGGCACACGCCTGACACCGCAGTAAGTGTCTCCCGCCTTCCCTTTCCTTCCTCCCTTTCTTGAGGGCAGTTTCAGTGGCCGATGTTCGTCCCGGAGCGCGGCTGCCTCTGGATGTCGGCGAGGATGCGGCGCAGGAGCCCAACACCGCTTTCGGAGCGCGCCGGCACCGGGGAGCAGGGGCGGCTGCTGCGGCGGAGCCGCCGCACCCCAGAGCGGCTCCCGGGGAGCGATGGCATCACCGACCCGCCCGTGCCGGCCCCGCACGGGTGTCCCGCTGCCCCCGCCCGCCCACAGCCCAGCCGGGACGGCCGCGGCTCCGCGGGCAGGGCGGCCCCGGGCACCAATCGCTCCCGGCGCTCCGCATCCCACGGCCAGAGAGCCGCAGCCCCCCGCACCGCCTGAGGGCTCCACCGCCCCCCTCAGCAGCCTCCGCCCGCCCCCCAGGGCAGCCCCTCGGCGGCCCCGGCCCCGGCCCCGGCCCCGCACAGCCCGGCGCGCTCCGAAGACCGGGCGAGGTCCCGCCGGCCCCGCCGGGCGCACCGACCTGGACGCGCAGCGCCATCTTCCCGAGCCACGGGAGCGGGGGGGACCGGCGGGGCAGGAGCAGCGGCGGGGCCGGCCGGGTGTGCGGGGCGGGGAGCGGGGCGGGGATCGGGGCCGGGTGTGCGGGGCGGGGAGCGGGGCCGGGTGTGCGGGGCGGGGGCCGGGCCGGGGCCGCCTCCCACGGGAGTTCCGTTCGGTCCGTGCGGGTGTCGCGGCCGTGCCGCGGTTCGGGGGTCCCGCGGGGTCCCGGTGGCCGAGCGGGGCCGTGGGTTTCGGTAGTCACCGCACGCCTGCGTTTGGCTTTGCACGGTGCGGATTTACGCACAGTTTCCACAGAGTTTACTCTCAGACTGTGAGAGATTGTAAGGGCATTCCCGTTTTACAACAGCAGTTCACAAGCTGCATGGGATTAATTCAATGTGGCATTAATTTCTTATATTTAAATATAAATAGTCAGTACATGGGCCAAGCCATCACGGTGCTGCTCTGGCTATACTGAAAAGATGCAAACCAATGACCGTGCTGCTGAGGCGGGTTTTGGACCAGGGCAGCAGCCGGGAGTTGGATTCTGCTGTGGAAAGTGCAGGAAGGGTCCTGAGAGTGGAAAAACGGGGAGTGCTGTTTCAATCCAGCAGGGCAAATAGACGGTGCTCAGGCAGTTAAATCTGCATCTGAAGGGACAGATGGCACTGTGATCCCAGAAAGGGGGAAACCTCTTCTATAGGTGCCTATAAAGGATCAAAGAAATTAAATTTAGAGAATAGAGTTGTCTCATTTTACAGTTGAATTAGACGAACCCCATTTTTGCTAACCACTAGTAGTTAAATAATAGGTAGAGTCTGTGACAGCAAACGTGGTTAAATTACCCCAGACATTTTACTTCTCAAGTACTGCTAAGACTGACTGTGATCCAAGACATTCTCTTTCTAGAGTTAAAGGAATAATTCAGGGTTAGTGGGGAAAACATGTCATGTAAATCAGCGCACAAGAAGGTCAATATGTTTCCCTGATGCTTGACCTGCGTTGCAAATATTCCCATGTGAAGCTTGGTAGCCCCAAAGAAGAGGCCTCCTGTAGCAGAATGTCCCTGGAAATGGAAATTGCTTTAGACCTGGAATGAAAACATGAATTTTCTGGATTCATCTCTGGCAGCAAGGTTATGACAATTTAATAGGGGGAGTGGAAGAGTAATTTCTTTGTACATGAACTATCACAGTTGAGTCACTGAACCATACACTTTTGTAAAAATACCTTAACTAATTATTGGAGACTGAATAAATGAGGCGAGTAAGTTAAATAAATAGTTCAAGAGCAGAATGAGCCAATTTCTAGCTTGTCTGGAGTGTTTCTTCCTGGCTAGCAAGCTGTTCCCTCCCCAGCCTGGGTCTCCTTGTGGCAACAGCTGAGCACGGACAGAAGTGGAGAGCACAAAGCTTGTGCCAGGGACACTCAGCTCTGTGCTCAGCTGCACAGTGCAGCCCTGTGACTGCACCTTATTTAATCATCAACTGAATCATTTTAATCTCTCAAATACAATTGCCCTTCTATATCTGATTGTCAACTATAACCTGATTGTTTTAAGGGGGAAAAATTGGTCTGGTGGAATTAGTGGATTCCTAGAGTAATACCTGACAAAACTCCTGAGATTTACCACAGCAAGTAAGAATGTTAGATTGTGAAAGTACCCCAGCCTATGTCAGGGTCCTAGCCCAAAGGACAAAGCTGCATGAAGTAGCATAATTTCTTTAGCAACTTTTATAGAATTTCTTGGGGGGGGGTGGGTGACAGTAAATGTGCTTGTGTGACAGGAGGAAGCTGTGCCATGAAATTCAGACTCACTTCCATGGAAAATAACAAAGTTCTTGCAGTGTTCAGTGGAAGCTCGATCAAACAAGGGTTTAGGTCTGCCTCACAAGATACAGTAGCAGGACTAATGCACAGTTTTCAGCTGGTTTCCTGCTGGGTGGAATAAAACCAGCTTCTTGAACTTGCTCTTTGGGTTATCTGTTGCTCCAGGCAATGCGTTCACAGTTAGATCCACTCATTTGCCATGCTGCTTAGGGAGGGCTGAACCTTCTCCATACTTTTTAAAATGTAATGTTAAATGACTTGATTAAAGCATGTAAAGAAAACCAGCCATTTCTGTCTCCTCCCATAAAAAAGGAACTAGGAATTGTTCAGTGTATTGGTGTTCCTTGGTTTTTTGCATCACCTTGGGATTTTTCCTAAAATGTCGTTTTATTACTGAAAGGAATGACTTATAATTTACAACAATTTGTTAAATGTATTTTAAAAAAATACATTTAGAGAGAAATGCAACATATTTAATTTAAAATCCTTTGTTCTGGGAAGGTTAGCTTTTCTTAAATAGACATAGTCCATCAGGCCAAGCACTCACAGACTGGTATTTGTTTTGGTTGTGCTGCACATTTTCTCATTCAAACATTCTTTTCTTTCTGTTTTTCAATTTACATTAACAACAGCAAAAGGACCTGTAGAATTCTAATTTCTTTCTGTGGCTAATGATTTCAAGATTATTTTCTGTGCCCTACACTAGGCTATGCCAATATATATTGCCACCATTTAGTGATGACCTTAGTAATCAAATTCATTAATTTGCAATGCTGGTCACAATTGATCTTGAATATATTAAATAGTCCCATAAAAAATGATCAGTGGTTTCTACCAGATAATTTTATGGTCAATATATAGTGGATAAGCAAAAGAAGTTACTCAACATATCACTAAGAAGACCAGGAAGAGTCCATAAAAGCAAAATCAGTAATTAAATATGAAGCCACTTCATACTCCTAATTTAAACTAATTAATCTTTTTCAGTGACACAATTACATGCTTTCTTCTCATAAGCTGGCAATACTCTGTGAAGTCTGAAATGAAATAAATTATTCTTTGCTTGTTTGCTACCTGGGCAAAGGTCAATAATACCTGAGGGCAAACACAGTCTATAGCCAATTTCCTAAAGTAATTCAAATTGAAAGGAAAAATCTTTCTAATAGCAATAAAGGCGCAAATAGCACATTAAAGGAGGAATTTGTGATGCACTTTATATTCTTAAAAATTCTGCACGTGTATGCATCCAGCAGCATTGCCCCTGAACCTCTCCCTGTGAGAAGACACGCAGGAGCTGGTACAAAGAGGAGTTCAAAGGTGTGCTCAGCTGCTTGAACCCACCAGGGATCTTTTCTGGGTATGTCTGAGTGTTGCCAGTAAAACAGCACTTCCTTGCTTTAGGCTGGGCTTTGCTTCATGCATCTATTGAAAGTAAACAAAATAATCCCCCAAAAGACAGATAATTCACCTTTGATGAGTTTAATCATGGAACATTTCAAATGAGAAGGAAAATCTTGCTGAAACGTAAGAGAAAACAGGAACTAAGGAGATTAAAGACTAGTTTGCAACCTCCATACTTACTTATGCTTGTTGCCATGTGAACAATCTTTGGATATTTTGATATTTTTTAGTACATTATAAAAAAAAGGAAATTGATACAAGGTAAAAATTTTGTTTAACTCTTGACATTTTTGCCAGACAAATTAGAATGTGTGAAAGAAATTATAAAATAATTTTAAAATTAACATAAAATTTGATCCCTTTGGTATACTTAGTAGAAAGGTGCATATTGAAGCATTATATTTAACAATCTAAATGTGAGTGTTACAACTGTTCTTATTCCTGGAGAGTAGCATGATACACTTTATCCAAAGCTGAATTTCAGGAAGGTGGATGTACATATGTTATCAGAAGAGCCATTTACAGCACAGACATTACGAGTAAATATAACAGTGTGAAAATTATTGGACAACAGATGTATAAAAATATTATTCAGAGTCGTTTCCATTATCATAGTCCCCAGATTCATATTCTTCATCATCTTCTTCAGAATTGTCATAATAGTCCTCATATTCAATGCTGTAGCTTGCACTTCTACTGCCAGCAGTAAATGCAAATGGAGGAGACGGGTCTGCAAAACATAATTGAATCCAGATTAAAATAGCTGAAGATAGGAACAAAGTTGAAAGTACAGGTTTGGATTCATACAGCAAGGTCAGTGTTTCTGAATCCTTGTTATCTATGAAAAGGAGAGGGGTTTTATCTGATGACTTGTGCTCATACCACTGAAGCTCATGATGCATGAGCAAATTTCTGTATAGAATCATGGAATCCCAGAATAGTTTGTGTTGGGAGGGACATCAAAGCTCATCTCATTCCACCCCCTGCCATGGGCAGGGACACCTTCCACCAGCCCAGGTTGCTCCAAGCCCCGTCCAAGCTGGCCTTGGACACTTCCAGGGATCCAGGGGCAGCCACAGCTTCTCTGGGCAACCTGTGACAGGGCCTCCCCACCTTCACAGCCAAAAATTTATTCCTAACATCTAGTCTAAATCTGTCATATTTTAGTTTAAAACTGTTCTCCCTTGTCCAACCACTGTCTGTCCTGCCTGTATAAAAATCCCTCTCCCTCCTTTCTGTAAGCCCCCTTTAGGCACTGGAAGGGGATGCTGTTCTGCAGGTCTGGGCCCAATGCAAAACAACAGCAAAGCTATTTCTTACGTCTCTCTCATCGCTCTCATTAAGGAACAAAAACTGTTTCCTTCCTAATTTTCTGAAAAATAAACAGCTAAGCAGACCTGCCATGGTTCAAAGGCTCCCTCAGCAACAACAGCTGTTGTTCTGGGTCTTGCTAACATCAAGGATTTCTGTAGGATAAGGATAGTGGAATATTATGTGTTTCAGCTGTATGGCTCTAATCCACAACTTTCTGTTTTCTGGGAGCTGGTAGAATTTGCAGCAAAATATTACAATATCAACCCATTAGGGGATAAAGTAAAAGCAAAGCACACAGAAAAGTTAAAATTTGGGCACCTTTGGGTGATTTCTCCTGTCCTTCATCTGCATTCTGACAAATCCATCCTTTGCAGCCTGTTTGAATGCATTTGTACATTCTTTACATCCAAATTAAAAAAAAAAAAAAAATTACCATCAACGACTTTCAGTCTTGCAGAGGCATATGTTGCACCATACTTATTTTTGGTGTGGCAGATGTAAATGCCTTCATCTGATTTTTTGAGGCCTTGAATCTGCAGCCAGCCTGTCACACCGTACTTCTGAGGCCCACCTCTTGCCTTTGAGAAGGAAGGAAATGTTTGAAATTAAGTAGCTAGGAGACACCATGATATTTCTCAAAATAATTGCGAATGGATTAAGCATCATTAGAATCTTCTGTTTTTCAGGGCCTGGGGCCTGACCAAGCTGCCACTCAGCAGGCAGGTTTTGATGGATTGGCTCGACATTCCAGGAGCTTTCACACTTCATGACAGTCACTTTCAACTGGCTTGGACTAAAGACTCCTAAAGTGAGCTTTCTTTTCCAAACAAATAATGCAAACCCATTCAGAGATGTTAGCAGAGGTGCTCTCATGCTGAACATATTAATGAGATAGGTAAACAGGGGTCAATTTAGCCTCTGAGGTGACCAGCAAGGATGTAGCTCCTTGCACCGTTGTCTCTCAGCAACTTTAGGTCCACTAATCCCACCTGTGTTCACTTTGCCTCAGGAAGAATTTCTAAATAACTTACACTTCTAGTACTTTGCTGCTTTTGGTAGTGTAATTAGCTTATTCTATGTTTTTCCTCTTTACCTTTTTTTTCAGGTTGTGCCCCATGTCCTGTGCCCCATGGATCTGACGGCTTTTGGGCTGTGTATCCAGAAATTTGCCATGCATTTCACTGCACAGTCTCTGCTCATGATTTTGGCCATAGGAGAAGGCATGGAGAAGGCATTAGTACAGGCTTCAGCCCTCCTGCAGGCTGCCTGTACAGCTGGCATCGTTTGCCAGCCCAGAATGTTATTTTTATTTCTATTTAAGAGTTAACATTTTGATTTATTTGATTTCAGCTAAAACTTTCAGCCCATTTCTAGATTTTCTTGAAGCCTATGCTAATGCCATTCTACTCATTCCCCTCAGATTAAAACACCGAGGCCACCATAAAACGAGCAAGTTTCTTTGCTTTTCTTATGAATGCCTCGGGGAACAGAACCCAAATGGCAGTTCTCAGAAACAGCAACTTGCAAAGGAGAACTTTAGATACCTGTCAGAACTGGGATTCTTGCCTCAAGAGTAAAAAAGGTGCTGTGAAAAGCCACCCTTCCCAGAATGCTCCTCCTTTCAGGCAGTAGCCTAAATGGTTCCATTTATATGTTTGCTGAGTTTTTTCAGAGTCAGACCTACATGAAGAGCCTCTTCCATCATTTCTTTCCCTGAAGCAGGCCAGATGGTACCCTGGCTGTTGTTCCTTCTGCTGGGACTGCCAAAGCACTGACTGAAATCATCGTTCTTTGTATAGTCAGAGGGTCCCTATTGGGAATCTATTTATTGCAACAGTATTGTGCTCTCTAGGAGGAATGCACAGATTAACCACCCTGCTCCTCTTCCCAAACTGGATGCCATGGAAAACTCAAGTTTTACCTGAACTGAGACGTGGGTGTCATCTCCTGGCAGAAACATTTTATTCCCCTTTTTTTTCCATTCAAGGTGCGGCATAGGATAGGCTGACACCTCACAGCCAAAAATGACATCATTGCCTGTGTAATTCTGGGTATCCTGAGGGGGCATAGAAATGACAGGAGCTGCAAAGAACCAACAGTGGTGCTTTAGAAGGCAGTGCACAAAAGAACACAAACACAAAAGCGTGTCACGTTAATTCCTGATGCATGTGGTACGATCAGTCTGCCTCTGCCTCTCACACGTTGGGAAGAGCCATGTGATTCCAAGCATTTTTTAAAGCCCAGAACACCTCGTGTCTGTGCTTTTTAAAAATGCTTATTCAAGGGACCCATCTGTCCTTCCCCTTGCAGGTGATCATGAAACTTGAGCTGAAATGAAGAGTTTAATTTTGCCCATGAGCTGTCATCGTGGACTGGACTCAGGGCCCACCAGCAGAGCCACCAGTACTGACTGCACTTCAGAGGAAAGTACAAGAAATTCTGTAGCAAACAGTCACAGTGACCTGATTGTGTGATAGTTCTTCTGAATGTCTGTTCCATTTTGGTTAGCTAAAAGCCAAAATACAGCTGTGGTGAACTTGTCACATTTTTGTCTTGCCCTGCACTTGCTAAAACATTGTCCTGCACCCGTGGAACCCACTGCCACAAGTTACAGAATAACAGCATAAATGCATTCCTCATTTGTCCTCAATTGCTATTGATTTCATCCCTTAGTCTTGTTATGAGACAAGGAATGAAAGGGATTGAATTCAATTAATGCTGTAAGGGTTTATGTTATATTTATCATAACTGTTACATTTCCACTCACTTGTTTCCTATAGTCCTCTTACCCTCGTCCCTCTCCACTGTTTATTGGTTGCCTCTGAGTGGTGCTTTCCCTTTTCCCGAAGCAAAAGCTGCCGGTAACCACGAGAGGGAGCCGGCCCGGGGGCTTGAAGACATCGGAAAAATAAACCATCCCTTGATGCCTTCAAACACGATTTCAGCACATCCTCCCCTGTGGCCATGCATGAGCATACTAAGTGTTAACAGGAGATGATGATGTTTAGCTGCAAAGAGCAAAATAACGTATTTACTGTTATCAAAGATTTCCTGTTTTCTTTCCCCTGATCTATTTGTTGTCAACAAAAAATGTTTTTCCTTCTAAAATCTGTTTTCCATTTCCAGACCAGTGCTCAAAAAGGAATGCGTTTTCTGGGCCACTGGGTTTGTATTTAATTAGCAATTTTATTTTTGTACAGATCCCAGATGCCTGGAAATGTAAACTTTAGTAAATAATTAATATATTGCTAATATATTATTATATAATAATACATTATTATTTTATATTACTAATAAATTTTATTAATAAGTAAAAACCTGCAATATTTGAATCAGTACAGAGATGCAGCATTTATGCTCCAGCATTTGAAATTGTAACAGCCTGTTCCAGGTTTTCAAGCAATATTTTCTAACACATTTGTCAGTTTTTCAGGATTGGTGTCTGTGCAGAAAATATGAAAGGCATACTGATTAAAATTAATTGCAAACAAATTGTGCAGCAAAATAACAATTTCCCCATTTACAAATGCCTCAATAAACAATCTTACTACTCTTCAAAAGTAAGATTTTTCAAACTAGGATACTTAAACCCTTAAGTGCTTGTTCTTTCACAAGAACTGTACATTCAGAATCTAATATTTAAAACACCTTGTGTTAAAATCAGCATTAACTGAATGATGAGAATTTTCTTTGCCTTCAAATCTTAAAACTCAGTGCAGCCACACTCCTTTTAGTGATACATCCGGTATCATACATCTAGTTAAGCTTAAAATGTACAAAACTCCCCAAATGTCTACACTGACTCTCAGGAGTTCTTTGAATTATTCCTCACAACACCACTTTTGTGTATTTTGCAGAAGAAAATTGGAGTCATGAGGTACCATTTTAACAGAACTTTATAAACTTCATGTTGGAGTGTTTCGGATTTTGTGTTCAGACAAATTCTCCCATGCATATCTGTGTGTACTCTTTTTTGTATAACTGATTAGAAACAGAACTTTCCTGTTATGACAACCTGTCACTTTGATTCCTGGAATAGATAAATTTTTGTTGATAGCCATAGAAAGCATTCTGGTGTCTGAGTGTCCAGACCTGAATGGGCAGGAGCTGCTCCTTTCCTTTTACAGTCCCAGTCAGTCATGAATGATCCCCATGTATTATAGAAGACATAAATGAGATGCCAGGAAGAGTCAAAATACTGCTTCTGCTTCACCTTTCACAATCAACTCAACAGCACTTCTAACTAATGAATTACATAATTCACAGGAATTTTTTCCCTCATATTGTATATTATTATTTTTTTCCAAACTATGTCTGATTTTATGAAAACAGCAGAAAATTTTGTGGCTTGTTTATTTGTTTTTATTCCAAAATTTACATTTAAAATGACTCATGTGACACAGCTAAATATAAAAAGAATCACTGCTAGATTGGTTAGTTCATTAAATTATCAGCAAGAGAATGTGAAAGTTTGAATGTGAAAGGGGATGGTTTAAGTGTGGAGAATTTGTATATAACTAATGTACTTAGTAATTTTGGTAAAATATTAATCAAACCAGGATCAAGACTAGCTTTCAGGAAAGGTTATTTCAGTGTTTCTTTAGTGAGCTAGGCCTTTTCTTTTTTCTTGTGACAGAGGAAAGATGAAAGGCTCTACTCTTCTGATGAAAGGAGTTTATTGTTATTTATTTATTCACTGGTTGCTGTATACAATTAATCCATTTGGCATCAAGAGAAAACAGCTTTGAAGGAGAAATAACAAAACAAAGCACTTTGACTGGGGTGAAGGTTGTATTTATAGCTGGGTACCCAACCCCCAGGGTGCTCGGTGTTTGTTTGCCGTGCAGATGGGAGGCGGTGCTGCCCAGAGCTCGCTGCTCTCCGGGCTCCCCGCTGCCTTTTGTGCCCCGCTGGTGGGTGACAACAGCAGCGATTAAAAGTGGTAGTACCTCCAAATTCAAGTTTCTTGTGCGTGGCCAGTTCTGGTACATTAATTAGAGGTACCGTTGCTTTAAGCCCCTGCTGCAAAGACACCAGCACTTGCTAACAGAGGGGAACTTCCACTCGAAATCTTTCTGGAGGGATTACGCCACGAGAAACAGTGCTATTTAATCCCAAACAAGAATGCACACCCGAGGCTGACAGGCTTTCAGTTGTACTGCAGGCTGCTGAGCACGTCTTTACTGACAAGCCTCGTTTCCCAGCTTAGTACCCTGATGCCAAATAAAGGATTCTTTAATGGATCTTTCTCTTCCAACCAGAGAAAGAGGAAAGCCTGGTATTAACTGTTCATCACTTTTCCTTTTCAGTGTTCAATATCCAGTGTTTATTCAATATAAAACACAGCATACAGTCTGAGACTGCAAGAGAGGAGTGGGTAAAATGTCCCTGAGTTACTCCCACATGTGGTCCTTTGTCAGAGTTGCAATTTCAGATTCCCAGAACTATGACCCATTTATGACCCACAGACCTCTTCTACTTACTTCATTTGAGAAAATATTTCATTAACTTAAAAAAAAAACCCACACAGTAATTTCTCAGTCAGAAAATAAAAGCCTCTTCACATTTTCATTTTATATTCCTGTGTTTTAGGAGAAAGGTGCTCAGGAATAATCACTTGTAATAATATGAAGAATGAGAACAGCACATGAACAGGAGTCAGCATTCCACGGAAAACCCACCTAAGAATTCTTCCACTAGCAATCATCACAGAGAACTGCTCATGCACTGTGTCTTTAGAGAAATTGTATCAGCTTGATTCTGTTCTAATATTTGGATTTCTGTTTCATGGGTTAGCTAGATTTTACGATGATTCTCAAATTGGATTATTTTGGATTTTTTTTTTTTTTTTAAAGGACAGAGCTGTTAATTAAACCCTATCTTCCTCTATTGCCCCTGCTTCACTGCTTACCATAAACATTCACTGGTGGATACACACATGCATACAAATATATATACAGATATGTGTGTGTGTGTGTATGTATGAGATCTGCCTTACTATCACCACTTTAAAATTAGGTTACTCCTCTTACAATAATAATAATCATTTGCCTGTTTCTCCAGTCTATCCTACCTGTTTACTGATTTCCAACTACACATACAACTTTTGTAGAAAAAAATCATACTCTGATTATAATAATCATACTCTGATTATTCAGAGAAGAGCCAGTCTGTAGATTGATGGCTTATTAGTCACCATGTGATTTAATCCACTAGTCTAATGTAGAGGCTTATAACATGCAAGATTAGGTACCAGCTGCTGAACCACATGCTTAGCACAAAGTAGTATTATAACAGGATAATGATAATTATAACAAAAATGCAGTATTAGTATGATAAAGCTAGACTAGAGCAGCTAGTAAGACATCTGAAAATAAGAATCAGCTCTTTTTCCAGTTGGGAAGTGCCTCTGTACACATTACCTGATTCACATGGCCCTTTATGCTTCATGCTGATATTTCTCTTTGCAGCATAAGCCTTGTTGAACTGACAGATGTTCTCGTAGGTTTTCCCTTCAGGTCCACAGATGCTCTCTTGAGACTTGCACACACACTGGGGTTCAGGGACTTCCCCGAACCTGGCTTCATCAGCATCCAACCTGCACTCCAGGTCATCCCCACACTGCCCATAAAAATGATTGCCCTGGTCCAGGTCGCAGATCTGCCCCTCTGCATTCCCACATTCCAGGCAGCAGCCACAGCGATCCAGCACAGTCCCGGCCGGACAGTCTTTAGGCTCGGAGCAAAGCGTCAGATCGCATTTCCCACAACTATCCCCTTCCCTCAGCAGCCTCCACCAGCCTCGGTGGTACAGGGCAGGGAAACTCTGAGAAACCTGTACCAGTGCTACCAGCACTGCTGTAACCATCCAGTGCTTCATCTTGAGAGTGCAGCAAACAAGCAGAAAAAGGTCCTTGGAGTAAAGCCAAGGGGAGGGAAAAAAAAAAAAAAGAAGAAGAAAAAAGATAAAGAAGAGCAAGCTAGTGAGAGAAAAACATCACAATCCTGGTTTTGTTTCAGAATATAAACTCTGCTGCAAACACAGGCTTTAAGAAAAAAATTAGCATCAAATTCCTAGTCTGGAACTGATAATAAAAATGCATAAAACCCCACTGGCTTTTCTCTAATGCAGTTTGGAATGTGAGTATTGCTTGCACAGAGACCAAACTGCCCCCTCTGACAGCTGAGTTGAAGCTCTCTGAAAAGCTGTTTGCTCAGTGTCTCCTTGAGCCAAATTTGCAAAGCAGTGCTCTACTGAAACAACATTTTACTGCAGATATTGTAGAAAGGGGAACAGGCTAAGTAAGTGTAAAATGAAAAAACTGACTGCCATGAGTGCCCCTGCCTTCCATCAGGTGAAAAAGATGGTCACAACAATATAAACATGGGTACAAAGTAGCACCCAAAATCCCACCCAGTCCTCCAGAGAACTGGACTTGGTTTAACACCAAATGTCATCTATTAATGATCACAGCTAGGGGTTCTGAATTTACATCTTACTTACAGGCTCTATACAAGAAAGAGACAATCCAAGACAGCTGCAATAGGCTTTAAACTCTTGGGTTTAAGATGAAAGATGCCTATAACCATTAACCCCCCCACTGTTCTCTCTCCATATATCTTCTTTTTAGTGTTTATGGGTGTCTGTGCTTTGCAGCACAAAGTAATGTGTTTGTCTCTAAGAACAATAAGCAAAAGGTTTAGAACACAGACAAACAGGGGCAAGCTGCTCCAGCACCTTCAAAGAAGATACTGCTGAAGTTTTAGACGCTGCACTGATCTTTTCATAGCCCTTGTCTACCTCAGCTTCTTAAGATGTAGTTGCACTGTGTCTTATGAAGGGAGATGGAAGGGGTAACTGATTTCTTTCCCTGCTTTTTCTGTGTATGTATATCTGCCACTTCGGGGAGAAGGCTTTGCAGGGTCATTGTTCACTTTTCTTTTTCCACCTCAGGATTTAGGCATGCTCTCTACCTCCTTGGCAGAAATCTCCCCTCCCTTGCACTGCTGATGAGATTTGGTGTCTGTAGCCCAAAGCCCATTGTTCAAACCACGTGCAGCTCACCAGCAATGCATCTGACTGGCGGTGGGAGCTAGAAATGAAGCATCATGGAGTTACAGCTCAATGCCACGGCTCAAGGATCACCACTGCTGACAAATGAAGGGTCTCTGTGGTTAGATTAAAATTACTCTACCTGCATCACAGTTTACAAAAATAAAACCATGACACTGTTATCAAGGAGGAATAAAAGAGAAGTCGTGCTTGTGCCTACTTGTCCTGAAATCATCCATAAGCAGCTTTTCTTCCTCTTTTATTATTCATGGTGCAGAGCTGCTATATGAGTTCAGTGAAGGATGCATTTTGCTGTACCCAGCTTTGCATCTTCTGGGCACATCCACAAAAGCAAAGCTTTTGAGGTCATTTGCTTTTCATCCCAAGCATTCCCATGGCTTTTCCCAAGTTCAGCTTCATACCTTCTGCACCTCTTGCTTTGAGTGAAGAAGCAGGCTGCTTCAAAATCACTTCCTTGTCCCAAACAACATAGAATGCAATTTCCCCCAAGTGACATCGGTGGAACACTTCTCGAAGGCAGCCTGGAGAGATCTGCAGGGCACCACTTTTTCCCCTGTGATCACTGGGCTAATTCATGTTCTGCAGTGCAAGTTTTTGCTTTGAACTTTGAATCAGATTGTAAAGGAGTAAGTTATGTGTGTAATTGATGCCTTTAACACTGAGAGTCAGAAAAAAATAGTAACCACTAAATTTAATGGGAAATTGATTTTTTGTCCCACCTCCTTATTCTGTTTAATGTGTTTTATTTCACACTTCCTCATCAAGTTCTAATTGGATATTTAGTTTTGCATTATAAGGTCTACTCATCACTACCTATTTCATTATCTGTGTCTACAGCTGTAGGAGATGAGTATCTATAGGACAAGGGTTTGCAAAGGCTCATATAAAGTAAAAAAAGTGGAGCCAAAGCAGGAAGGGCTGCAGGCCAGCCCTGCCCTTGGTAAGGCTGAGCTTTGTCTGGGGCCTTCCAGGAAACCTGGGATCTGAGGGCAATAAAAGAGTGTATTGCAAGAAAGTACCTCATGTGAGCTGGCACGGAGGAAACCCAGCACGGATATCCTAGAAAGCATCTTTGGCATTTACCTGACTCACATAATCCAAATTCTTGATGTATTCAGCCCTTAAATTAAGAACTGGGAATGACTGTGGTCTCATTTAAACAGCTGCCACTTGGCAGAGGATCTGCACCTGAACATTATTTGGCCACTGATTCCCGAGCTCACCTGGAACAAATTGGGGTAAGGGAGGTTAAATCATTGTGGTATGACATGGAAAAATGGCCTGAGATAGCTGTCTGAGTGTCTTTCATTAGCAAGGCAGTGGTGACAAACTGAGGAGAACTTTCCACACTGGGTGAATGAGCGGCAGGGTCAGCGCAAGAAGTATAAAGGTGGAGGATGGAGAGAGATCAGGATTCATAGCTGGGTTTGAAGTGGCACATCTAAAGGCATAGTCCCATCTGCTTCAGTAATAAAATATGCAGTATTTCAAGATGTCTCTAATCCCTGAAGCTTGCTTTGGTGGAAAAAAGTGTTGATTTTCAGCACAAATCTTGAATTACCTTAACCCTAAATATCTCCCATAACAAAACACAAGCAGCAGTGGATTAATGTCACTGGTGGGTGTGCAAGACAGGCACCAGTGCTTCCTGTACCCTCAGGCCGTGTCGTCCATCAGGACTCAGGCCATGTCTTGCAGAATTCCTGTAAGTGATTTGTTAAGGAAATTGTATTCCTATTCATTTCCTGCCTTCTTCTTGGCCCCCAGTGTTGTGCTAAGCTCCTGACTTGTATTGCGTTATTCTGCTTTGCATGGGAAGAGGTAAGGTACACTGCTGATGCAACTTGAAATCCTGATGCTGGTCATTCCTGGGGTACTGCTCCTTTAGAGGAAATACGATTCAACCCTTCATTCTGTTTTTATTAACGTCCATTTGAGTTTTAATCAAGTTAAGGTTTCTGAATGTGGCTTTTGCGAGACTTGCAGTTCTGGTTTTACACAGGAGTCCTGTGACAAATTCCAGCAAAGTACAAAAACTTTCTAGGTGTTCCTTCTGCCTTTTCTGGTTCCTCTCCTTGAACAGCTGAAGCTGAGTTTGGAAACTGGAGTGCTCTGTCTCTTAGGTTGTACTACCTGTACTTGAGGTTCCTGTAGAGAGAGGAAATCTTGGCTGGCTCAACGTGTTTCCATCCAAGGAACCTTGTACTTGCGTAATGAGCCCAAAAGAAACATTAAAGAAAAAGATTGTTGCCTGTTGTAGCAGGTCAGAGCAGGCTGCTGGCTGTGCCCAACAGGTGTGTGCATCACCTGGCACTGCACTGAGCTCCTGGGATAAGTTTTCCCCCCCCAGTATCCAGAACTGAGCTTCAGTGGAGGTGTTTAGCTTGAAGTGGCAACTGGGGGTGAGTAATGAGAGATGAAGTGAGAAAGGTGGGTTGCCATCTGCAGGTTCCTTCCAGAAGTGCTGACTGGCAGCGATGCAGCTCAGGCAGTCCTGGGGTCTCCAAACAATGCCTTTTCTGGGGCCAGTCCTGTTTGCTGACATGTTGCTTTCATGAATCTCATCATTAGGGCTGTAAGCACATGAACTATAAGTTAATTCTGCTGTAACATGATTATTAAATCCATTAATCAAAGGCAGGAGATCCGTAATTAACTTATTCTCCAGCATCAAGTAAATGATTCTGCTGTGAGCTTTAATAAAGCAATTGTTCACTAATATGCAGCATACAGTGGGGCTATTAGACTATAAGCCTCTGTAATTGTATAATTAAATTATAAATTTTGCATATTTTAATAACACTTTAATTATTTTCAGTGTAAAGTTAAAATGGAGGTTCTTTTTTTTTTTTTTTTTTTTGCATTTTTAAGGCCTTAAATATAATTGAGAAAAAAAAAGAAAAAAGAAAAAAAATCAAAATTAATATCTGTCCTCTTCCTGTAAGCTGACTTGAAAGGCTTTGACCAGGCTTTTGGTGGCTCACTCACCTGTCTCCAGCAGTGTCTGACTACAGATTTCTCCTGTTATACATTTCAGCATCATCACTGCTGGTCACTGCAGGCATTCAAATCTTCACCTGCAAAGACCAAAGAAGTGTCTCGTAGCACTGTGCTATACCAAATGCTTGGGTTTGCTTTAATACAGGTTTACTGACTCCTTTTCACACAAGCTAGTATTTCTTTCCAAGGGGCCAGAGAGTTCTGAAGTTGTTCTTTTGCGAGGTGAGAGCTGTAGTGAGGAGACTTGCACAGATGGTATCAGGAGGTTATTTCCCCCCTATGCCCTGCCCACATTTCCAGCCTGGCAAATCTTACTTGCTCATTTTAAACCTTTCTCTGTACACTTTAATCACAAGGGCAATAGGGAAGCAATAGCCATCACTGTCCCCCTTCCTGTTGAGGGAGAGGGACGTGAAGGTTTGTTTACCTTCTGCCTTTATTTTGGGGATGCTTTTCCATTAGGTCTGCTTTGCACAGAGCACTGAATTTTCAGGTGTCGTGTTCTACTGCAGTTTAATGCAGAGTGAAACTCTTTGTGTGTCAAAGGCAGTTGCTCTCTACATCAGCAGTGCCACAGGAGTGCTTTCAGGTACAGCAGGGCTTCAAAGACACTGGAGCGTGGGGAAAATGTGTCAAACCTCGACACACAAAACCAGACAATAAAAGAGCAGCACAAGAAAGTGTGTCTTTCACAAGCAGCAAGACAGAAATGGGGCAGTGGGCTGGGGGGGCTGCAGACAATGAGAAGGGAAGGGAAGGGTAGGAGGAACAGGTAAGGCCCTGGGATCCCCAGCCTGTCCAGGGGTTCTGGGTGGCACCCACCTAGCTCTGTCACCAAGGCGTGGCCAGATATTTTATGAGCACAACAGATGTTCTCTGTGCATTTGGAGAGGGGCTGGAAGAAAACAAAACAAAAAACCTCAAAGGCACATGGTTCTGACTTCGACAATGTTTCAAGGAGCTTGAAACACTGACAGACTGAAAAGTGATGCGAGTTCTGGCTGCTGAGAGCCAGGTGGGGGTGTGTTTGTACCTGTCCATCTGTCTCCCAGCAGATGCACAGAGACAGGAGGCACAGCAGAAAGTTTAAGCCCAAAGCTGACACTGGTGGTGCTGCTCATGACATGTACCAGCAAAGTTCTTAAAAGGGGTAAACCA